GAAAGGAAGAGTTTTGTTATAGTCTTTTCTTCCATGGATCTTGGAGTGAATGGTCACAGAAAGGAAATACTTAAACCATGCATATATTGGTAAAATCTTTCAAGATTTAATGGAATGCTTTTTCCACAAAATGCTCTTGTGTTTCTTGATTGATAAGTTTATCTAGCCATTTTTGATGAAATTGCCACTACCTGAAATTTTATGTCATGCTGTTGAGAAGTTTGCTGGCTTGTGACTTTGTTTCCTTGACATTTAAAACCAGAGCTTTATAATTATGAGACTCCATTTCTGTAAGTAAGACTGAAAGACCCATGGTTTCTGCTTTTACTTTTAATGCTATGCATATTTCTGTTGATATTCTATTATTTACTTTCTAAGACAGGACAATTCTAGATCTTCTTCGTGTCTTAAAATATACACTTTCAAATGACAATAAGCTGACCCTGAGTGAGGAAATGGTTTATACTGTGCTTAGTTTTATCTTAATACATTTTAAAGCATGTTACGGAATTCGAATTCAAGTTAGTTAATGCTATTCATGAGCATCTATCAAACTCACAAGCATTTTCACAGATGAATATGCATAATATAGGGCATAAAGAACATTATTCAAATGGCTGAAAAGAAAAAAAATTAGGACTTTAAAGAATATTCCTAATTTCTCTCAAACTCATGTTGGTTCATTTAGGGGGACCTCCTGTTTCACATTTTAGAGGTTCTTAAAATATCTTCATAACTGTCTGAAAGACTAGAAGATTAGAAAGAAAAATGATTAAATGAATGCACTGCAGCTCTGGAGATGCCAAATCATTTTTTCATCTCTTAAAAGTAGAAAGTTTAGTTTTTGAATATTTCATTTGTAAAATTGACTCTACTATGTAAGCAGTGTTTTAAGTTCATTGGAGATAAACACCCATGTTGGTATAGTAAAATCCCATTTTTACATGATGCTTTAATGGAAATGGCAGTTTTATGAAAGGAAAGTGACTAGTAAAAATCTGAATGATGCTCACAAGCTCTTACATCATTTTTATTGGGATTTTTTTGTATTCTAATTCATTAATACAGGAGAAAAGGAGAACAGTAACATAGTTTATTTCCTGTAATTACTCAAATCAAGTAGAATTTGTTTTCAATAAAATTCTTGGATTGTCCAGAGTGTGGATTGAAGGGTTGGCCTGGTTTTACAGAATGTCTTGATTTTTTCACATTAGACTTTGCTGTTTTATCAGTGAAGTTGTTCACTTGCATATATTTTTGGTATTGTTTCCTCTAGATTAAAAAAAAAAGGCCTACGTAAGCCCAAGAAGTCTCTAATACTTAAAGGTTTAGACTGAGTGTTGAGGGAGAAATCTGGGATATTTATTTATTTTACTTATTTATTACAAATAATGTTTGTTTTTTTAATAGTTTAGACTACTTTTTACATGAATCATATAGGTTAAAATATTATTTAGATTGCTGTGTAGTAGGTTAACCAGTGGAGTTTCCAGAAGCAGATTAGTGTCCGCAGTTAAATTTGCTTTATTTTTGTGGACTACCTAGAAGAAAAGGTCATTGCAGAGGAAAAACGCACTTAAACTTATCCCTGACTCTGATTTATGAGGCAGCAGGAGGAGGAAGGGACAGGGGAAACTGAGTTGGAAACGCGTATTCTTAATTTCATCACAGTGAAATCTCGCCAAATCCCTGTTTTCTGCTTAGTATGCTTCAAACCACCTTGGAAAATGCTGTTTTTTGGCGGGGTGGGGTGGTGGATGTGGATCTGCGGGCTCTTATGAATTCTTGGCATTCTAATCTGAAGATGCTTCCATGTTCTTGAGGCAGAATTTTGTTGAAACGAACAGATTTCAGCTTGTATCTAGAAAGCTTTAAGGCCTGGTGGTTTATGAATCACATTCAGATTATCAGTGAGAGTATTGTTCCCCCGTAGGCTTTGTATTTGAAAGCTCACCTTTTTTCAGATGGCTACATTTTTTTTTTAAATCTGTTTTCTTCTCCTTTCCCCCCAGCAATGTGGGGCCATTAGAGCTGGAGCTATGCTTATGTGGAGTTCTTGTAGTGGGCCCTTTTTATGTGAGGGCCAAAGAATGTATGTACATGGTGATCATGCCCCTGTAGGTCTGAGCTGTGTTTGTGTGCTTATTTAATTGCTTTCTTTGACTCCAGGAAACCAGAGTTGTGTTTTTTGTTTTTGTTTTTGTTTTTTCTTTTTTACCCTTGCTGAAGTGATACCATTTCAAGCAAAGAGACTTACTGGGAGAAAACTTCCTCCGTCTTCATTCTGAGCCAGACTGCGTGTGTTGGGGAGTAGAAAAGGGTGTAGCCCTGGATAATCCCGCATAAAGGTGCTGCCTTCAGCACCAAGTGTCCTGTTTCTCCCTGGAGGCCAATAGCTTGATACAAGGATGCAGCGTGGTCAGCACCTGGCTTTCCCTCACTGTAGCTGCAAATCCCCTGGAGCCACAGGGAGCCCACCCTCAGTAAGGGGGTGACGTAGCTTGTAGGGAGAGGCTTTGTGTGGTGGTCAGTAGGGGAGACAGAACACCCCACCTCTGGCCACAGTTGGACCTAGAGAATGCCCCCCTCTCGTGGCTTCCAGTTTGGCTGCCAGAGGGTTAAAGGCAGGGCTTATGGGAAAGATAAGCAAATGGAGAAATTGTTTTTAGGCGTTTCACTTTTTTTTTTAACTCACCACGTGGCTTGTAGGGTCTTAGTTCCCCAACCAGGGATTGAACTATCACCCTCGGCAGTGGAAATCTGGAGTCTTAACCACTGAACCACTGGGAAATTCCCTAGCCATTTCATTCTTGAAGGTGTCACTGCTCAAAGAATGGAAGTAGCTTTTAGTATAAGTAACTACAAAACTATAGATAATCCAGTAGTATGGTAGTTCCTGCTATAATATGATATATGCATTCCTAAAAGTCGCCATCCTATACAAAATAGCACAGAAGACCATAAGACTTAAGAGGAAGGAACAAGGTTAGAAGCGTAACACTCAAAAGCTTTGTTGGTCACAGAAACACATAAAGATGGGAAACTAATATAAGCAGAAGCACAGTTTAGCACACAGTAAATGGCTCAGAAATAGATAAATACTGCAATAAATATGATGCTTTACCAGGAAAAATGGACATTTGCCTGTGGAAGTGGTCATTGGAAGAGTTACAGTTTGTGAGGGCCGCACAGTGAGCCCGCGTAGGTGGTAGTTGTGGAGATGTGTGTATTTGTGTGTTTTCTGTATCTCTGTGCCATTCAGTTCAGCTGGATGTTGTTTTCTGTGATCACTTAGCGTTTCTTGCAGACAAAATCACACATAAGCAAATGTGAAATTCATTTTATGCTCAGATTGTCTCCCTAATATGCACATCAATCACATTGAAACAGATTCACATTTTCAAAATAAGCTTTCTAGCAGAACTGGCTGTAGTTTATTTTATTTTGGAATTGAGTCTCTTTTCCTTTCTTTCTTTTCACCGTTATTGATTTCTTAATTTATATTTGTTAAGCCCATATCAGATTGATTTTTCATACTCAGAGTTACCTCCAGAGGCGAGAACGCAGCCTGAGATTTTAGTTCTGCTGGTGGTAACCCACGAGGCAGTTTCCTCCTTGGTGGAGGGCTCTCAGTCAGTCTCTGTCTCTAGCCCCTGCCCCCTTCCCTTTACTGGATGCCAGGCGCTGTGTCGGAGACGTGAAAACTGGTAAGGTATCATTCTTGTCCTCAGAAGCTCAGAGTCTCATTGAAAAATGTTTGAGGCACAGATGTAAATGTCTTTGTTGCAGATCTTATGGAGCAGATGAACCAACTGTGTGTATTTCTTAGTTTGTGAGCACAGGGGCACATATACCTCCCCACCCCATCTCTGAATTCCCTGTGAACGTAAAGATAGGAGTAAAGAGCTTGCCTGGGAGACGCACAAAGACACCATTGGTGTACACAGTGAAAAGATGTAAATTTGAAAAGGGTGAAAAGGACCTAAGAGACAGTGTAGTCCAACCCTCCCACCTAACTCCTTTATAAACCTTACGGGTCAGGTTTCAGAGAAGTTTCAGAGTAATGTGAGTAGTATGATCCCATTTTTGTTACCACACACACACACACACACACACACACACACTCATGTATGTATGTACAGTTTGTGTAAGCATAGATGATGTGGATGGATCTCCCACAGTGTTAATATTAGTTACCTCAGGGGACAGGGGAAAGCTTATTAACTTCCTCTTTAGACATCTTTTATTGTTTGGCTTGTTTTAAGAAGCATGTTTTACTTTTTTAATTAAAAAATCTAATAAAGTAGAAAATGAATAAATAATAATAAAAAAATACCCTCAGGGCACTGAGCTTCGTTTCAGTCTTCTAGTGCCCCGGGTAGTTAAAAGTGAACGTGCTGTTTTAGGTGTGGGCTGCCCCGCAGGACTCTGACCTCACTGTAGCATCACTGCAGTGTGTGTGTGTTTGGGGGGTGGATTATGTTTACAGACCACTAACACCTCGAAGTCTTTGTTGCATCTTTGGCACCCTGCCTTTGATCATCATTTTTGGACCCAAGTCTAGTCCTTTACCTTCTCTCTGTTAGATTTCATCTGGTTACTGTGGAAATCCGTATTCAGCATAGGTTAGGAGCTGGCCTTGGACTCAGGCTGCCTGGTTGCAGACCCTCGCTACCACTACCTACCGTGAAAATTTTAGACGAGTGGTACGTTCTCCCAAGCCTCAGTGTTCTTGTCTGTCAGTAAAGTTGTGAGATATCAGGGAGACCCTGTCTGCTGGAACACTCACTAGGCCAGGTGCCTGGTGGTGTGATGAGACAGTGGTGGGTTTTAGCTGTCACTGTTAGTGCGTCAGCCTCAGCCCATCTCTCCTGTATGTCACGATGAAATGATCGTGGGTCACCCACGTTCCACATCCACCCTGACCCCATACCATAAATCAGTCTTTCCTCCGCATGGCCCTTATGGGACCCCCAACCAGTCCCTGTCTCATTCTGCAGGTCCCTTCACCGATGTTGTCACCACCAACCTGAAGCTTGGCAACCCGACAGATCGAAATGTGTGTTTTAAAGTGAAGACCACTGCACCGCGTAGGTACTGCGTGAGGCCCAACAGTGGGATCATTGATGCAGGGGCCTCGATTAACGTATCTGGTAAGTTCTGAGAATGAAGGCCTGAAGGGTGGGCTAAAAAGGCTCCCTAGAGGCAGTGGGATCTCTTCAAGCTTGTGTTTGCAGTATTGCAAAGGTAGATGGTAGGCATCCCCATCCCCCTACCAGCTCCCTACCCTCTGATTAAAAAGCTTGGTGGGTCCCACTCACCTATTGTTTTTCCATAATTAATGCTTCTTTAGTTTAATGCTCACAGCCTTTGTGCCTCAATAGTTAGAGCAAAATTAAAGTGGTAACATCAGACTTTACTTGAGAAAGAGTTGGGTTTTCACTCCCTTGAAATTAAATCTGCCCTTTGGCAATAAATAAAAAAAGGGCTAAACAAACTTAATTTTACTTTGTGGGAGAAAGCTAAATGGAGTTATTTTCTTATTTAAGCTAAATGATTTCTGACATTAAGCTCATGTCATTTCCAATGATTGGTAACTGCACTTTACTGATTGTGAAAAGCTAAGGGAGATGAAGGCTGAGGAAATTGGAGTGTATTCAAGGGTGCAAGTTTTGTGCATGTCTGATGGGTTTTTTCCCCCCTTCTGTCTGAGAGTGCATTTATTTTCCAGAGTCCAACTTTTGAAAAGATGCTGGTAGAGTGCCCAAACTGAGAATTGGATTTCAGAATTAAGGAGATGTAAGCGATGGGTTTCAGTTTAAATGTATTTTAGAAATGGAATAAACTTTGAGCTCATTAGGACTTCTGGATACAGCAGTGCCTTTTGTATTTGTGGAGGAGCTCTGGGGGAGTGTGTGTTAATCCTTCAAGTATCAGGAGACTGTCACCAAGGGCTCTGAGGCATCATTAGAAGCTACTCCTCATTTGAAATGGGTATCTGGCTGACTTTTTTCCTGACGGATTTTGATTGTGATACATTTGGCTATTCATTTGACACCTGAAAGAAAATGACTCACCTCTTTGGAAAGATATAAGGTGTTTCATTATCTCATGATTTCTGCAGACTCTTGTTCCCTGCATCCTCTGTGTTCTCTCATTAGGGTGCGCCCACACCGGCTGTCCCCCTGTGTATTTCTCTCTGAGCCTACAAGACCTGATTCTCGAATCAGGTTATTATCCAGGAGGAATCAGGAGGGTGGGAGCCAACATTTGTTGAGGATCTCCTTTGTGCTGGGTCTGCACACATATTATCTCATGTAATTTCTGTTATCTACCCAGTGTGGAATGCATTGTTGTTACCCCATTGTACCAGAATGACTCCGGTGGCCACAGGCTCACGAAGCTGGCCGGTGACAAAACCAAGACATAGATCCTGCTTGTCTGGCTCTTGTCCCCAAACCTTTTGCACTGCAGCGCACTGGTCAGGGAGGGGGACCCAGGATGTTGACATTTCAGCATTCCTTGGATTCATGTGGTTTGAGTTTTTCTGTTGAAATCAAGGGCAGATGATGCTTTTTATTCCCTTTTTAAAGTTGACTTCTTTTTTACCTCTTGATTTCCTTGCCCGTGACACATTTAAGCACAGTTGTCAGTAGATGAGACTTTTACCCAGTTTTCACAGTAAATTTGGGGCAGCAACATCGTTTTCTGAATAAAATAGTCTCAACAGTCAGATGTACAGTGTAGGTGTACCTTCTGATATTAAATATGAATGGGTGAGCATAAGTGTATCTCTTCCAGAAAGATTCGCCCCTACCCCATCAGAGGAGTGGTTTTTAAAGTAATGACTAACCCTGGGCATTTGTTTTGATTTGTGATTGTCTGCTAAGGAAGACCAGGATTTTGTGGTCGTGGCTTTCCTTTTGCAGATAAGAAGGAAAGGTTCAGGGGGTGGGGGTGGGGTAATAATTCAGGGGCACGTGGTGATGGTGGCAGAGCTGATAGTGGAAGCCAAGTGTCTGTCTTGATCCAGTGGCTCTTTGGTGACACCAGCTGCCTCAGCAGGGAGGTCAAACCAGTCAGTCTTAAAGGAAATCAACCCTGAATATTCATTGGAAGGACTGTTGCTGAAACTCCAATACTTTGGCCACCTGATGTGAAGAGCTGACTCATTGGAAAAGACCCTGATGCTGGGAAAGATTGAGGGCAGGCAGGAGGAGAAGGGGACGACAGAGGACGAGATGTTCGGATGGCATCTGTGAACACGAATTTGAGCAAATTCTGGGAGATGGTGAAGGACAGGGAAGCCTAGCGTGCTGCAGTTCATGGGGTTGCAGAGTCAGGTACAACTTAGTGATTGGACAGCAACAACTGCCTCAGCAGTGTTGGGACGCTTACAAATAAATGTGAAACAAAATACCTTGGCTCTTAGAGTATCATGTACTTGGGGAAAAAAGCAGTTGAATAACAAAATGTCCTTGTGTTTGCAGGCCTTGCTTCTAATGAGACAAGATTATGCTTACACATGAGAAAGGGCTCTTTTGTTTTTATTTGGTGTGCGTTGGCCTCAGTACTTGAGGTGCACTTGAGTGAAGCCTGATTTCATTGCCTTTCCAGGACAGCTTCACCTGTCAGCAAAGGAGGCCAGCATCCACTTGCTGGGGTTTTCTGTGCTGAGGTGCCACTGTATTGTTTTTTAGACAGTTGTGTCTTGGGGCAGAAAGCATTGTACTTTTTCAAGGGTCCTTTTACAATACAGTCATGTGATGGCATCTAGGTGAGAACGTGGAGTTCCGGGTCCCTTCAGCTGGGAGCCTCTCCTCAGAAGGAGGAGGAGGACGCCAGCAGTGGGCAGTGCAGAGGGTTCAAGGCCAGCTTCCCTTCTGTGGGCGCGCGTGGCTGAGCTGGATTGCACCCACTCTACTCAGAGATGAGTAGACCTGGGTGCGGAAACCCAAGAGGAAACCCAAGCCCTGCTGTTGAGCCTGTTGGCCGGTCTTTGGCCAAAACTCTAACCTCTGAATGTTCTAGTTTTCTCATTTGTAAGATGGAGGGAATGGTATTCACATCACAGAGTGTTTTACCAGTGCTTCAGAATTTTAACTGGAAGTGTGGTGAAAGAGTGGGGTTGCATTTTCTTCCACTAACTTTGACAAAGACTGGCTGGTTTCTGTTGAAGGTGGGTTGTACATATCTGAATTGCATTTTTAGAAATATGTCAGTTTGATGAGTTTTACTAATTTATGGAATTTTTCTAATTTTAAGAAATTTTTGTTTTTCTTCTTTATGTAATATGCATTTGTTTATAGCGAAAAGTCACTAGTAGATTTTCAAATATGAAAAGGAGGTAATCAGGTCAACTGAAAATAACTATCAATGTTGCTCTGTCTACACAGAATGTTGCAATATACCGTACAGGAATTTGTTCTTTCCCCCATTTCTGAAAACCCTAATATCTACTAGGAAGGGTTATAAATCATTCTTAGAGAAGGGGGCAACCCGGGAGAGAAAGAGGAGGAAGAAGATGGTATCCGCAGCTGGCCAGAGAGACTGTGGTTTTGAAGGCTTGCAGGTCAAGGTTTTTATGGGGGAATGAGACGTTCTAGCTGTCTGATGTCTTTCAAGACATACCCTGTGAACCTTTTCTCCGCCGTCAGCTTAATCTGCTACTTGGGACCTCACATTCTGTGTCAAAAGTCTCAGCTCTGACCTGTTTTATTTTCTTCAGAAAATGGCACATCGCATACTGGGGTCCTTAAACAGAACAAATCCCCGTGTTATAAACTCGGGTGGTGAAGTTACAATTGGAAACCGGTATGAACTGAGATTTAAGTGCCATAGCTGGAAACTTAGGACTTCCCAGCGGGCTGTTGTGGGGTCTAGTCACCCAAGTCTCTGAGTGAGTCATTCTCTTTGCCCTTTAGATGAAGGTAGGTCCTCCTTTCATCTCTTTCTGATTGCCCCGTTAGGGTCTTGTCTGCTGGATGAGGCAGTGCAGTGGGTGGGAGGGTGCTGGGTGCTTTGTGTTTGCATTAGTTAGCCCAGAATGCCATGGTTTTGGCCCCTTGCTCCTTGATACACACCATCTACTAGAGATGGTTTTGAATTATTCAAACCTGGACCTCAGCAAAATAGGCACACTTAAATGGAGATTGGAGAAGAGGAGATTGGATTTTTTCCCCCAGAGATTTTAAATGCAAGGAAAATAGAACTTTTTGAATTAATGAATTGTTTGAAGCAGTGGGGGGTCTCTCCATTTGTTCTAGCTTTACAAAATTAAATCTGTTTTCTGAACTGTCTGGTGGGAAATATTTTTAAGGTAGATAATTTCTGAAAATGTCTTTGTGGTAAGCTGTTAGTGGTTGTAGGGTTTTTTTTTTTTAATACTGCAGTTTAATAACGAAGGAGTTTTCCATTAATATTCCAAACCATGTTTGCCAGCAGATACAGCAGGTGAAGTGGTAAAATTATGGGCCCATCAAAAATACTTACGCTTCCTGTAAAATGATATTAAGTTTAATATTTTTATAACCTTCACTGAATTCTAATTTCACTAAAGTAGCAAGCGTGCTTCCATTTGCAGTTCAATTATGCACATTGGTTGCCTATGTACCAAGCAAATTAGAAATGCGAAATATCTGGTTGGGGGGGGTGGGCCTTGGAAAGAGTTGTTAAAGATACCAGTATTTAGGTATAGATACATTTTACTGAGTGTACCCTGGGAATCGAAAGTGGATTGAAGACAAACAGACACAAATCTTCTGGTGTCTGAATCTGTATTTTAAATTCAAAGAATTCAGGAACAATGTTCATTCCTGACATATAGCCCTTTTCAGCACTTACTTCAATCACATTTAAAGCACAGAGTTCTTCCAGTAAAATCCTGAGGACAGAGAATGAATATCAGCAGCTCTTCTTGGATGGAATCACTGGTCAATTAATGTAATTGGGTAGGATCGCAATTGATAATTAATCCTTCTAAGATTTTGCTGACTCAGTTTAGTGGAGCCGCCCGCTTGCCCTGAACAAGCCAACCTTGGGCGGCAGCTTTTAGGTGATTAGCACCAGAGTCTAAGCCCACTGCCCTTACAGAAGGAAGTCAGGCATCCGTCTGTCACGTGCTGATAGCGGGAGCTGTATTTGGGGGATTCGG